AAAAAGAAAAGAAATAGTTGTATAATGTTATACAGGGTGTCCCAGAAGTCACCGTACACAGGGAAAATGGGAAATTGTAGCTAAATGTACCTTTATTTACAAAATATTCATTATGAAATTTTTCCTTTGTGTGGAGACTTTTGGGACACCCTGTACATGTAGTAATAGAATATCTGTTTTATGGTAGGTTAGAGTAAGGGAAGAAAGACAGGATATAGGTAATATTTATAAAGCACTATGTGTTAGGGGTCATGGTAAGTGCTTTACATGCATACCTATTACTCACCACAAACTTACGAGGATTGTGCTACTAGTGTTTTTCCTTTTTTATAGGTCAGAAAACAGACTTGGAGAAAATAACTTGCCCAAGATGCCACAACTATTTGGTATGGTGGAGTGGAATTGAATCAAGTTTAGTCTTGACTCGAGAACCTAAGCTATTAGTACTATACTATATTGCATCTCTACACCTGAGCTAGGCTCTTTTGCTTATATTCTATTCAATAAAATAGATATTTTAAAGATTTGTTGGATTTTGTGAAAGAAGAGGAGGAGCTACATTCTAATAAATTATGTGGATGAGACATAAAACATTTCCTTCTTTTTTCTTTATTATTTTTTAAAATTGGGATCAGATTCCAGCCCTGTTCGAAATTTGCAATCTTTTGGCACTGAGGAGCCTGCTTACTCTACCAGAAGAGTGACCCGTAGTCAGCAGCAACCTACCCCAGTGACACCGAAAAAATACCCTCTTCGGCAGACTCGTTCATCTGGCTCAGAAACTGAGCAAGTGGTTGATTTTTCAGATAGAGGTGAGTGGGTATGGTATGTCTTGGACCCATTCCAGAGGATCTGGTTAATTTCTTTTTAAAGAAGACTTGGGGCTACTGCAGATAGATACCTAATACTTCGGCTAGATGTATGCTGTTTGCCTAGTTCCTTTCTTATGTCTTGCTAAGGACAGTTTGATGCTACAGTATTCTTGAGGTCCCGCGTAGTTGGCATATTATAGATTGGACCTGTAATAGGAAAAAGAGACTGGGGCCTTCTCAGCCACAGATAGCTTGAACTAGATTTTCTCCTGGCAGTGCTTGTCAGTCCATTTATTTCTGGATTTCTGAGTGGGAGTGACCTTCAGTGATGGAGCATATTAAGCTTTTGAGATTATGATTTATCAGCCCAAATCAGGGGCCTTAGAGCAGAGGTTACAGACTGCTGAGCTGCTCCTAGGCTGTCCCCATGGTTGATTGGTTTGCTTGCACAGTGTTTAAAATTTTTTCAATTTGTTGCCAATATTTGAAAATACAGAGATTTCATATAAAAACCAGGATTAATAGTTTGTTTTAAACAATGAAAAGATCTGGGAACATTGGGTGGCCATTCACCCATAGTAATAATTGGCTGGAGCTGAATAGTAGTTGTCCCCTTTAGAAGGACAATAAGCTGTCTATTTGGCCTTGCCCAGCTCCTGTAGGCATCTGGTTTGCAACCCCTGATTTAGAGTCTGGAATTTCAAGATTGGATTGTTAGACTACCAGCAAGCTAACTCAAGAGTCTAAGTCCAGTCACTTTCCCACACCAAGCCTGTTCAGTGTCATCCAGAAATATAAACATTTTCATTTATCTTCTGTCTTGTGTATCTCCTGGAAGAGAAATGGAATGGTAATGATGTTAGAATTTATTTCCATCCAGTTTTGATTACCTGTAATGAGGACCTCAGGAGAAATAAGTGTTATATATTAGGTAAACCCCAAATTTAATTTTAATCAGAATTTAAAGTTACACAAAAGGAATGGTTTTAGTGTCTTCATTTTTTCATTTTCCATTTAGCCTGATAATAGATAAGTAGCTAAAAGTTACTGGTTAAATCATAGAGGATCTGGGAAGCCCATAAACTCTTTTGAATAGTAAACTTTTGAATAAATGAACCCCATTCATAAGTTCTACCGATTGCTTTTGCTTTAGAAACTAAAAATACAGCTGATCATGATGAGTCACCACCTCGAACTCCAACTGGAAATGCACCTTCTTCTGAGTCTGACATAGACATCTCCAGTCCCAACGTGTCTCATGATGAGAGCATTGCCAAGGACATGTCCCTCAAGGACTCAGGCAGCGATCTCTCTCATCGCCCCAAGCGCCGTCGCTTCCATGAAAGCTACAATTTCAATATGAAGTGTCCTACACCAGGCTGTAACTCTCTAGGTCAGTGTGCCCAGCTTCATGACGCCCTTTTTGTTCGGTGGTTCTCTCTCCCTCTGGAATTAGAATCATCCAGAAATGTTTTGTGTTCTGTTGTGATCTGGCCTCTTAGGTTCTCCATGTGCTCAGTAACAATGAGTTGCCCACTTGGTTAAAAGCGTTTCTCTTTTTGGTTTATTGTCCATAATAATATTAATAGATCTGGTTGCAAGGAGACTAACTATGATGAACCATTCAGTTTATTGAGAGCTTTTCCCAGTGAAAAATTCCCTCCTTTTTGCAGCGAAAACAAAAAAGATGACCGTTATCTCTAAATGTCATTGTGTGGCACATAGTTCATGGTCATTGAGGACCAGTAGAGGGTAAGCTAGTGCAGAATAGTGGTTGCATGGCCGTTGCTGTTAAGGAAAAGAGAAAACAGATTTCTTAACCAAGAGGCTGTGAAACTAATAGAGTATGCGTGAGATCCTCGCCTGTAACTTCAGTAGTTTTAGTCTCGTGGCTTTGTGTACCTAGTATAAACAAGATAAAGTATTTCTTCTGAGATAAATATCTCATTGTTTTCTTATGACTTTTACCCCTTACAGAATTACTTTAGGGATTCTTGTAATGATTTGAACCTTATTTGTGCTCCTTCAGTGAGCTGAGGTACAAATGTTGGGCTTAAGCTTTTGTCTGCAGTCAGAAGGCGCTGATTAGGAGATAAGGGACCTTTCGCTGCTGGGTCTACTTCTCAAATTCAGCCTTTGCTTGTGGCCATCAAGTTCAGAAAAAGATAGAACAGAGGAAGTTGCTGCTTTGCAGGCTAATAGTACATTTTCTGTAGTATTTTGTTAATTTGGATCCTTTCTTAGTTTTAGCAGCAGTTTCTCAGATAATTTCAATCCATCAAAGTATATAGAGCAAACTCCTGAACTCCCTACTAGTCATCACTCAAAGAAGATAATTATTTCAGGCCTGCATCAATTTCCTTGGGATAAATAATGAAAAACTAAGAGTAGACAACATATTACACTAGTATAAGAGATGATGGCTAATATGCTTTAGGAGGTTGAGGGGATCTACTTGCCACACAGCAAGGACAGGTACTTTCCTCAGCTTCTGCTGGTCACAGACCATGTGTTGCTAAATTGTTAACTTTTATGTGCTATATTTAATAATTCAGCAAGTATTTATTGAATATTTGCCATTTGTTGGACACTGGTTTTTGTTTTTGTTTTTGTTTTTGTTTTTGAAACAGTTTCATTCTGTCACCCTGGGTAGAGTGCAGTGGCATCATTGTAGCTCACTGCAAGCTGGGCTCAAGCGATCCTCCTGCCTCAGCCCCTCCCAAGTAGCTGGGACTACAGGTGTGCGCCATCACACCCGGCTAATTTTTTTCTATTTTTGGTAGAGGTGGGATCTCGCTCTTGCTTGGGCTGGTCTCAAGCTCTTGACCTCAAGCAGTCCTCCCGCCTCAGCCTCCGAGAGTGCCAGGATTACCGGCATGAACCACTGTGCTTGCCCTGGACACTGTTTTAAGTTCTGGGAATGTAGCTATGAACATGTCAAAGTCCCTGCCCTCATGGAGCTTGTAGTCTAGCTGAGGAAGACAAACGCAGGTAGATACATAATACATCAACTGGAGATAAGTGCTATGAAGGAGAGTAAAGCAAGGAGTGCTGAAGGGTAGGAGATTACGTGTGTGTATACATGTACATATGTAGTTATATACACGTATATGTGGTTGTATATGTAACGTATTTATGTAATTGGCTAGGGAAAGCTACTCTGATGTGACATTTGAGCAGAGACTTGCCATTCGAGTGTTTGAGAGTAAGCATTATGGGTAGAGGGCACAGCAAGTGCAAAGGCTACAGGGCAGGAGAATACTTAACTAGTTTGAGGAATACTTAGGAGCCAATATGCCTGGGGCAGAGTGACCAGAATAGAGAGGAGGAGATAAGGTCAGAATGGGGGCCTGATTGTATTATGCCCAGGATTTAGCCCTTTAATGGAGTAGACCATGGGGTCAATATAAATATGTAGCATCAGAGGAAAGTTTTTACTTTGACTTTCGTTTTGAGGTATTGGAAGCTTGAAAAGTGTGAATCTGAGTTTCCAAAATATTCTTGATCCTGTTCCACTCCTTAGGCAAAAAAAAAAAAAGGCATTACTTTTTAAAAATAATTTTTCCATAAAAGTATTGTGTGTGTGTGTGAAAAATTCAAAACCCTACAGGAGAACTCGAAGTGCTTAAGTAAACGTTCTCTTTTAATTCACACCCCCTGAACCGTGCCCCAGATATAAAACTACTGTTGGTAGTTTTTTGTGAATGCTTCTAGTAAGTTTCTATACATATATAAGCATACATATGTGTACAGATATTTCTTTTTTTTTTTTTTTTTTGAGACAGAGTCTGGCTCTGTTGCCCCGGCTAGAGTGCCGTGGTGTCAGCCCAGCTCACAGCAACCTCAAACTCCTGGGCTCAAGCCATCCTCCTGCCTCAGCCTCCTGAGTAGCTGGGACTATAGGCATGTGCCACCATACCTGGCTAATCTTTTCTATATATGTATTTTTAGTTGTCCAGATAATTTCTTTCTATTTTTAGTAGAGACGGGGTCTCGCTCTTGCTCAGGCTGGTCTCAAACTCCTGA